GCTGGGACTACAGGTGCATGCCACCACTCCTGGGTATTTTCTTTCTTTCTTCCTTTATTTTGAGATGGAGTTTCACTCTTGTTGCCCAGGCTGGAGTGCAATGGTGCCATCTCATTTTACTGCAACCTCTGCTCACAGCAACTTCCACCTCCCGGGTTCAAGCAATTCTCCTGCCCCAGCCTCCCAAGTAGCTGGAATTACAGGTGTGTGTCACCACACCTAGCTGATTTTGTATTTTTAATAGAGATGGGGTTTCCCTATGTTGGTCAGGCTGGTCTCGAACTCCCAACCTCAGGTGATCCGACTGCCTCAACCTCCCAAAGTGCTGGGATTACAAGTGTGAGCCACTGCACCCAGCTTTTCTTTAAGTTTTATTTTATAGAGATGGGATTTTGCTATGTTGCTCAGGCTGGTCTCAGACTCCTGACTTCAAGCAATCCTCCTGCCTTGGCCTCCTAAATTATTGGCATTACAGGTATGAGCCACTGCACCTAGCCACATTCTAAATGCAGTTAAATTATTTTGTCATATTGTGCCTTCCATCCAGAAATTTCTGAACTACCTAAATATTTTTTTTAATTTGTATACATTTAGATTCATGCTTTGTGCTATAAATTTCTGAGGATTTTGACCAAAGCATAGTGTCATGTGTTCACCATTACAGTATCATACAGAACAGTTTCACTACCCTAAAAAATCTCCCACACTTCATTTATTCAACCTTCTTCCCTCATCTGAACCCCTGGCAATGACTGATCTATCATCTCTATAGTTTTGTCTTTTCCAGAATGTCATATAATTGAAATCATACATACATATCAGACTGGTCTTTTGTGTCACAGTATCCATTTAAGATTCTTCCATATTTTTACATGAGTTGATAGCTCATTCCTTTTTATTGCCAAATAGTATTCCACTGTGTGGATGTACTGCAATTTATCAGCTTATCTATTAAAGAATATCGTGGTTGCTTCCATTTTTGATAATTATGAAATTATATTGCTTTATAAACATTCAAATGCAAGTTTTTGTGTGCATGGGTATGTTTAGCTTTGTAAGAAACTTCCAAACTGTCTTCTAAGGTACCACTTTGATTCCTACCAGCAATGAGTAAGAGTTCCTATGTTCCACATCTTCACTAGCATGTAGTACTGTCAGGTTTTTTGGTTTTAGCCATTCTAAGAAGTGTGTAGCAGTATCTTATTGTTTTAAGTTCCATTATCTAATGACAGATGATGTCAAGCATCTCTTCATATGCTTATTTCTCATCTGTGCGTCTTCTTTAGTGAGGTGTCTGTTCAGATCTTTTGCCCATTTTTTAATTGGGTTGTTTTATATTGTTGAGTTTTACAAGCTCTTTGGTATATTTTGCATATAAGTCCTCTATCAGATATGTGTCTTGCAAATATTTTCTCCCAGCCTATAGTTTATCTTTTCATTCTTTTAATTGCTGAATATTTTGAATTTTAAAAATTTCTTGGTAAGCTTTAACAACATGCCACTTAAAAACCATCAAAGGGTACCCATTCAAGGCTGCTGCTTTGTGAATTGCAAAAAGGGACTCCTCTTTGGAAAGATCCAGAAGCAGGCCAAGACATTCGGGTTTCAGCCATGGCTGGTGCCTTTGTGCCAGGCACAAACTGCACAATCACATTGCAGCAAACCTCACTCTTCTTAACTGTATCCTTAATACACTTTCAGAACCTTCCATGATGGGGTTCTTGCCTATTTTCCAGCCACATCTCACCCTTCTACCTTTCCTTTCTATACCCACAAGAGCCTTATCTGGGAAACTTGAAGGAGCCTTGCTTCCAGCTTCAAGGCTTTATTTAGTTCCCTCTGCCAGTGTGGCAGGCTGTTTTTAAGATGGCCCTCAATGATCCTCACCTTCTTGTATTCATGGGCCTCATGCAGTCCCCTTCCCTTGAGAATGGGCTCGACCCTGTGACTTGCTTCTAATAAACAGAAGAGAGCGAAAGTGATGGAATATCAACTCCAGCGTTAGGTTATAAGGGACTAACTTCTATCTTCCATGCACATTCTCTTCTCATTTGCTCACTCTGATGAAGCCAACTGCCAGGCTATGAGCTACTTATGAACAGGCTCAGATGGCAAAGACCTACAGCTTATGAGGATCTGAGATGTCAGTCCAACAGCCCTGCCAACAATGACTTGAGTGATATTGAAAGCATGTCAATCCCCAGTTGAGCCTTTAAGTCACTTCATTTTAGCCCTTATTGCCACTTTGAAGTCTTTTGAGAGACCCTGAGTCAAAGGAGTCATCTAACCGCCACCATATTCCTGACCTACTGAAACTGTGAGATAATAAATGTTGCTGTTTTAAGCCACCATGTTTTTAGGTAATGTTATACAGCAGTAGACAATGAAGACAACCAGGAATATTCCCCTCCTAACTTCCCACCTCTCCAACTCCTTTGTGTCATCAGGTCTCAGATTTAAATGCCGATTCCTCAGGGATGACCTTCCCTTTCCCTGACAATCTTCCACATACCAGCAGGCCTCTGATGATACATTCTAATAACATCCTCTTCTTCTATTTTGCAGCACTTATCACCAGAGCAATTCGTTCGTCATCTGAGTATTTGTTTCATGCCTGTTTTCCCTCAAGACTGTCAGTTCCATAACTGAGCAGGCTATATTTATTTCATCCACACTGAATGCCCAGCACCTAATACGGTACCTAGCACAGAGTGGGGATATAGTAATTGTAGAATAAAAAAATGTAAACTTATGTAAACTTAAGAATGAATTAATAAATGAAGTACATCTAAGGCTCATAGTTCAGAAAGGAGGGAGAGAGAAGCCTAGTAAAGATAGTTACAAAAGTCTCATAATTCCAAGGCTTTAAAAAAATACTTATTAAACAAAACAGCCAGGTACAGTGGCTCACACCTATAATCCCAGCACTTTGGGAGACTGAGGCAGGCAGACTGTTTGAGCTCAGGAGTTTGAGACAGACTGGGAAACATGGTGAGACTCTGTCTCTATAAAAAATACAAAAATTAGCTGGGCATGTGTGACATGTATCTGTGGTTCCAGCTACTCGGGAGGCTGAGGTGGGAGGATCACTTGAGCCCAGGAGGTGGAGGCTACAGTGAGCCATGATTATGCCACTGCACTCCAGCTGGGAGCCTGGGTGAAAGAGTGAGACCCTGTCTAAAAAAACAAACAAACAAAAACATGTCAACATATTCTAGATAAAATATGTTGTGACAGAGTGCATTATAACCTAATTCTCTGCTTTAAAAACAGGCAAACCAGGGTTACATGATAGTCCAGGAGTTGACTTGGGTAATAAAGGATGAGAGAGTGAAGACAAGAGGGCATGTTTAACAAAAGCTGCCCCAGTATCTGGAACTGGTGTTCCTCTGCCCTTGATATTGAATCTGGGAAAGGTGTCCAGTTTTTCTATGAAGCTGAATGCCAAACCAGGATTCTGAAGTCTGAGGATAGTCCTTGGCAAATTGAGTCCAGTTGTTTTAGATTACTAAACTCCATACCCTTACAGGACTTTTTAAATGATAATATTACATGATCAACAGCTCTGTATTCCATCTAGTAAATTGGTTTTATTAGCAATTCTTTATCTTCACTGCCTACCGGATAACATCCAAGTCACTCCCTAGCTGGATGTTCAGGGCTCAGCTGACCTTTCTGGCCTGGCCTTCTCTGGCTGCCTGCTGCAAACACCATGCTCTTGGTACTCTGCAGTCACAGGGTCCACTTTCCCATCTCTGCACCTTTGCACGCACTCTTCCTCTGACTGCGAGTTCATTACCACCAAATCCCTTCAAAGCTAAGTTCAAATCAGAACTCTCCTGCTGCCCCCAGAACTCACTTCTCCGTGGTTCTGTCTTCTTGAAGCACTTTGTGTGTTTATTGCTTTTGTGGCCAATAACATATTTAATATTCTATTGTGATGGTATGTATTTCATTTATCTTCTCTACATAAACCTGGAGGATATTGTCTTTGTCTTCATCTGTTTTCCTATATAACCTAGTACATGGCTCTGGATAGAATAGGGGCTTAATATATATTTGTTGTTAAATAAATAAATGAAAGAATGAATGTTAAAAGGCTTCTAAATGAATCTGATATACCTTATATCCCAATGGCAGTAATAATACAGTCATAGAAAGAGATTTAATGTTAAAAAGTCTTAATTCGCTTTTTTTATTATGAAGTCTGTTTTCACATGTACCAAAGAAGACATCTCATATGGCAAAAATGAACTTAGAAATGGATAAACAAGGCCAGGCACAGTGGCTTACACCTGTAATTCCAGCACTCTGGGAGGCTGAGGCAGGCGGGTCATTTGAAGCTAGGAGTTGGAGACCAGCCTGGTCAACATGGTGAAACCCCATCTCTACTAAAAATACAAAAAAAATGAGCTGGGTGTGGTAGCACATGCCTTCCCAGCTACTCAGGAGACTGAGGCAGGAGAATTGCTTGAACCGAAGGTGGAGGTTGCAGTGAGCTGAGATTGCATCACTGCCCTCCAGCCTGGGCTACAAAGCAAGACTCCATTTCAAAAAAAAAAAAGAAAAAATTTGAGAAGTGAAAAGCAGAATGTTTATTCACTAATACACTAGAGCACTGGCTAAATATTCTAATACATTACTCTTAGTGGTCACATACAGCTGAAAGAAATAAAAAACAAAGCACACTACTAAAAATAGGAAAATGAGCTTTTTAAGAGCTTTCAGGAATTTTTTGTCTACTGTTGAACTTTAGATCATTTTAAAAATTTTAAAAGCTTGGCTGGGTGTGGTGGCTCACACCTGTAATCCCAGCACTTTGGAAGGCCAAGGCGGGTGGATCACGAGGTTAAGAGATTGAGACCATCCTGGCCAATATGGTGAAACCCCGTCTCTACTAAAAATACAAAAATTAGCTGGGCATTTGGCACGTGCCTGTAGTCCCAGCTACTTGGTAGATCACTTGAACCCGGGAGGCAGAGGTTGCTGTGAGCTGAGACTGCCCACTGTGCTCCAGCCTGGCAACAGAGCAAGACTCCGTCTCAAAAAAAAAAAAGTTTAAAGCTTAATAATAATAACAAATAGCCATCGTCTATAAAGTCAAAGTCGTTTACTTGAAATACAGGGACTTATTACAGAAATGGAATGCACCAGGTTACTTAGGGCCCAACGTTTGGGAGGACAGTGTCTTCATGACCAAGTCCAGTGTATCCTGAGTCCTCATACTATTTTTTTCCTTCAGGGAAGAATGTCTCACAGACGATTTTGTGTTTTCCTTTGGATCAAGGGAGTGAAGCGTATACGGGTTGAATAGACATCGAGGCTCCCCTAAGATGCCAACTCTGTGAAAAGAATTATTGGGATAGCTGAAGTGATGAGGCCAAAGACTGACATGCAGGGTTGCGATTGTGACTGGGCTTTGTGTGTGTGTCTGTGTGTATATATGTACATGAAAGCTAAGATACGCTCTCTCTCTCTTTTTAAAAACTTTCCCTGTTTCTATGAACTATGACTGTAGTCTTTTTTCTTTTTCTTTTCTTTTTTTTTTTTTTTTTTTTTTTTGATGAAGTCTCGCCCTGTCACCCAGGCTGGAGTGCAGAGGCACGATCTCCGCTCACTGCAACCTCTGCCTCTCGAGTTCAAGCGATTCTCCCATCTCAGCTTCCTGAGTAGCTGAGACTACAGGCATGTGCCACCACACCCAGCTAAGTTTTGTATGTTTTAGCAGAGATGGGGTTTCACCATATTGACCTGGCCTTGTAGTCTTATATATGAGTACAAAAGTAAATCCTTAGCAAGATTTTGTACTAGTGCTTCCCACATTTCTCAAAGGTGATTCTACTAATTGAAAAACCTCAGCCTTAAAAAAAAAATCAGTTACTCACTCCACCAAACTAAAGCTATTTGGAGTCTAGCACAGCTATCTAGCAATTTTTTTCCTGGTCTAGATGGATGTACCTCAAGACTCTCTAGAAAAGAAACCAGAAGGAGATCAGGGCAGAAGTAAGACAATGGGGGCTGTCATCATGGCTCGACTCCCTGGCAGAGGCACGGCACCTGGGCCCCTGCCCCTTCCAGCCCCACCTGGGATGCCACCTCTAGGTACTCATGTTTCTCTTACTGGGCTGCTTACACTGGCATGGACACAGAGTCCAGAATTCCCACATGCTTTTCCATCTCGGCTAGCAAGTTGACACCTACTTGATGATATTTTTTCTCAAAGACATTTTGAGCTTTTTCTCTGAGAGATGGCAGCAGAGTAGACATGACTGGAGAACGCATGTTGATGGCTGTTTTAATTGCTGGGCATTTTGCCATCATTCTCCTGTGGGGGAGGAAGGTGACATTTAGGTCATACCACCCTGTTTTCTAGTGCAGTGGCTCATGCCTGTAATCCCAACCCTTTGGGAGGTCAAGGCAGGAGGATCACTTGAGCCCAGGACTTCAAGACCAGCCTGGGCAACATAGCAAGGCCCTGTCTCTACAAAAAATTTTAAAAATTAGCCAGGCGAGATAGCATGCCTGCAGTCCTAGCTACAGGAGGGTCACTTGAGCCTGGGAGGTTGAGGCTGCAGTGAGCTGTGATCATGCCACTGCCCTTCAGCCTGGGTGACAGAATGAAATCCTGAGGAAGAAAGGGAGGAAGGGAGAGAGAAAGGGGAAGGGAAGGAGGGAGGGAGGAAGGGAGGGAGAGGGAGAGAGAGAGAGAGAGAGAGAGAGAGAGAGAGAGAGAGAGAGAAAAGTCTAGGCCTTGAGCATAGGAAAGTCAAAAGGTCATACCTGAATTGAACAAAAGTCATGCGCTTCTTTTCCCCTCCTGATTCCTCATCTTCACACCTCCTACAAGGAATGTTGAATATATTGGTACGAAAAAGTCTCCCTACTTCTTCCTCAATCTCTGTCAAGTGTTGACGTTGGAAGACAATCCAAGCCACATAAGTACAGAAAGTGTAAAAGGACTACAACAAAAAATAGACATGAATCACAATCCTCAGCTGTGATATGGAAAACTCCCACCTGTCTGTAGAACACAGCTAAGCAGACACAAACCCAGGTGACCCCATTTCTCAATATTCCTGAAACACTGCAAAGTTATGTATGTACTCCCTTTTGCAGAAAGAAAATCAGACCAACAGTGTAAGGTATAGCATATAGCTTGTGAGCATCCTTTTCAGAAAGGATATCTGCTAAAAATAAGTGCCTGACAAATGGCCATGGGTTGTTGTAATACATCATTTCATATCAAAAAGCCCCAAAATATAAATGACTTACCTCAAAGAACTTCCAGTCTTTCTGTGTATCTGAAATTTTCTCCCTGCAATATAGCCAATCACAACTATAGGTTGAGAGGGAAATTCAATCTTTCAGTGACCTAGTCCTTATCTTCCCCTAACGTTAAGGTCATTATCTTGGCCCAAGAGTATTTTCAGGTACACAAATGCTATCAAAAAGCATCGATAAAGAACCTCAATACTTTCTTCTTCAACTTCCTACATTACCCAGATCAGAATTCCTAGAGTGGTCAAAAGTTAATCAATATAAATCAGGGGTAAACAAACCAGTAAGGAAATGTATTCTCCCAAAGGCTTCTGGTAATGTGAGTGTTGGGGAGGTAAGGAGAGTAGAAAGGTGGTAAAGAGGAAGCAGAGAACTAGAAGGTAAGTCTGCAATTAAGAAAAGGAAAAGAGGCCAGGCATGGTGGCTCATGCCTGTAATCAGCACTTTGGGAAACCGAGGCAGGTGGATCATTTGAGGTCAGGAGTTCGAGACCAGCCTGGCCAACATGGTGAAACCCTGTCTCTACTAAAAATACAACAACAACAACAAAAATTAGCCTGGTGGTAGTTGTGTGTGCCTGTAATCCCAGCTACTAAGGAGGCTGAGACAGGAAAATCACTTGAGTCTGGGAGTCAGAGGTTGCAGTGAGCCCAGATTGCACCACTGCACTCCAGTCTGAGCAACAAAGTGAGACTGTCTCAAAAAAAAAAAAAAAGGAAAAGGAAAAGAAATCGCAAACAATACTTATGGCTATTGAGTTCAAAAAGAAACAGAAACAAAATCCACAAAGGTCTACCCCAAAGCAACCAATAGACTGAGAACAGCAGTGTGCTCCTCCTTCTCATGGGCATGGGCAAACCTGAGTCTTATCTCTTCCCAGGAGTCCTTGCAACACAAACTCAATGTTAAGAATACTATACTTGGTCAGGCGCAGTGATTCATGCCTGTAATCCAAGCACTTTGGGAGGCGAGGTAGGTGGATCATTTGAGGCCAGGAGTTCCAGACCAGCCTGGCCAACATGGAGAAACCTCATCTCTACTAAAAATATAAAAATTACCTGGGTATGGTGGCAGACACCTGTAATCCCAGCTACTCAGCAGGCTGAAGCAAAAGAATTGCTTGAACTCAAGGGGCAGAAGTTGCAGTAAACGGAGACCATGCCACTTCACTCCAGCCTGGGCAACAGAGTAAGACTCCGCCTCAAAAAAAAAAAAAAAAAAAAAAGAATACTATACTGGCATGGGCACAATTAGTGAACATGGCCTCCCCTCCCAGCAGAATTCTGATTCCGACTCCCAGCCTTAGGAAACCAGGCCTGGCCTGGGGAGTCCTTGAGAGTTGACTGAGGGGGCTATGCACCTGCAGTCACTGGATTAGTTACAGTGGCCAAGGCCAGACCCTGCGCACTTCAAGGCTCATTCTGGTTTTGCTTTTTTTTGTTTTTTCTTGAGACGAAGTTTTGTTCTTGTTGTCTGGGCTGAGTGCAATGGCACCATCTCAGCTCACTGCAATCTCCTCTGCCTCCAGGGTTTAAGCCATTCTACTGCCTCAGCCTCCCGAGTAACTGGGATTAAGATGCCTGTCACCATGCCTGGCTAATTTTGTATTTTCTTTTTTTCTAGTAGACGGAGTTTCTCCATGTTGGTCAGGCTGGTCTCGAACTCCCGACCTCAGGTAATCCGCCCACCTCAGCCTCCCAAAGTTCTGGGATTACAGGCATGAGCCACCATGCTCAGCCAGTTTTGCTTCTTTTTAAAGACAGAGCTGAAGATCATAGCTCACTACAGCCTTGACCTCTTGGGCTCAAGCAATCCTCCTACCTCAGCCTCACAGGAAGCTGGAACCACAGATATATACCACACTGGCTAAATTTTTTTTTTTTAAGACAGGGTCTTACTGTCACCCAGGCTGGAACACAGTGGTATGATCATGGCTCACTGCAGCCCAGACCTCCCCAGGCTCAGGTGATCCTTCCCCAACCTCAACCTCCCAAGTAACTGGGAATACAGGCACGTGCCACCACGACCAGCTACTTTTTCTATTTTTTGTAGAGACAGAGTTTCACCATGTTGGCCAGGCTGGTCTCGAACTCCTGAGCTCAAGCTATCCGCCCGCCTCAGCCTCCCAGTGTGTTGGGATTACTGGCGTGAACCAAGGCGCCCGGCCTGCTTCTGCTTTTGTTAGGGTCTTCCTTGGAGGAACTGTGACTCTCAGGATTAGTCTTGGTATCAAGCTCTCCAGAACCATCCTGAACTCCCACAGTCTGGGAAAGATGACCCAAACATCTCAGGACCTTCAGGCTTCTCTCAGGAACTTCCTGGTCTGAATGGGCCCAAACTAGCTCTCCACTTGGGGGTACTCACAGAGGTGAGTACTGGGGCCTGCCCCTCCACTCCCACAGACTCTCTTCATTATATATCGGTTTCTTCATGTGCAAGTCTTCAATAAAGAGCTATGGCAACAGCAATTACGGTGAACACTGATTAAGTATGGACCATGTGCCAGGTACCACACTAAGCCCTTTACATATATTACCATATCTAGTCTTCATAACATTGCTGTGGTATAGTCAGCATTATTATTCCTACTTCTCAACTGAGGAAACTAAAGTTGAAACTTAAGTCCAAAGACATGTACTGTACTGAAACTCAAGCCTGTCAGATACCCACATCTGTCCTCATAACTGGAATATGAGGGGAATAAGCTTTTTTCTTTAAAATAGTTTGCAGATAAACATACTGAACAACAGAGCTCAGCGGAAACTTTTTGGAGCAAGCCTCAGCATTTCTTTTCTGTGCCACCTGAGGCCTTCACCTGAGGGGTATGCTAATGGGAAATTTCTGCACTTTCAAAGCTCCTCTTCTGTAACCAACTGTAAATCTTCTGCCAGCTGAAACCAGAGACTATGCATACCTGCCAAGCTGAAGCAAGGAAACCAGCCAAAGTCTGTTTTGGGAATACCAAGTCAGCCTGCAATCTGGGAGAAGATCTAGAGCAGAGCTCACATTAGCTCAAGGCAAACCAGCATCATCTCAGCACGGTTTTGAAATGAGGGAGTGATTGCCCAGGAAACACACTTTCTTTCCTTTTCTTTCTTAGTTCTTTTTTTAGACATTGGAAGAGACATGAGCCTGGGTGCAGCGGCTCACACTTGTAATCCCAGCATTTTGGGAGGCCAAGGCAAACAGATCACCTGAGGTCAGGAGTTCGAGACCAGCCTGGCCAACATGGCAAAACCCTGTCTGTACTAAAAATACAAAAATTAGCCGGGCGTGGTGGTGTGTACCTGTAATTCCAGCTACTTGGGAGGCTAAGTCAGGGAGAATTGCTTGAACCCAGGAGGCAGAGGTTGCAGTGAGCCAAGATCGTGCCACTGCACTCCAGCCTGGGCAACAGGGCAAGATTCCATCTCCCCACCAAAAAAAAAAAAAAGGAAGAGAAGGTAATATGAATTTCTTTCCACTTTCCCTCAAGCTGCCATACACACTAGAACTCTTTCTCTCTTAATGCCCAAAGCAAACTGATGTAGCCCACACAGCAAAAGTTAAGTACAGAATGTCATGGGTTCCTTTTGCCATTCTGATTTAGCCCTGCATATGAAATTGAAATGAGTCCAGGAAATGGGTGCATACACTGGGTACATTTGGGGACTTCATTGTTTAAAGTTCTACAAATTTATTTCTTGCTGTATATTTTGAGTCACTTTCCTGTCCTTTTTTTTTTTTTTTTGGTATTTTATAATTTTTATATTAAGGAAATATACTTAAATTGATTATAAATTTTAAAATGTGTTGATTATAAAATAACAAAATTGGCCAGATGTGGTGGCTCACACCTGTAATCCTAGCACTTTGGGAGGCCAAGGTAGGCAGATCGCTTGAGCTCAGGAGTTTAAGACCACCCTGTGCAACATGGTGAAACCCAATTCAAAAAATACAAAAAAACTTAGCCAGGAGTGGTGGTGCATTCCTTGTAGTCCCAGCTACTTGTGGGGCTGAGGTAGGAGGATCACTTGAGCCCAGGAAGTTGAGGCTACAGGGAGCCAAGATCGTGCCACTGTACTCTAGCCTGGGTGACAAAGTGAGACCCTGTCTCAAAAAAAAAAAAAAAAAAAATTTAAGCCTCCCAAAATCATCTGCAAATAAGAAATGGGGTTTAAACAATACAAGTCATGGAAATATAATGCAAGCCATAAATGTAATTTTAAATTTTCTAGTAGCCACAGTAAAGAGAAACAAGCGAAGCTAATTTTAATAATATATTTTATCCAAAATATTATCATTTCAATATAGAAGCAATATTTCTAAAGTATTTAGATGTTTTATTCATTTTTAGACTTTCTGTGTACAGTGCTTACTTTTTACTTATAGTATGTTTCAATTTGGACTAGTACATTTCACAGTGTTCAACAGCCACGTGTGGCAAGTGGCCATCATGCTGGTCACCACATGTTTGAGGACACAACCCATAGGAAAGAGGGAAAGCCAGCATGGTAGTAAATCTAGAGATTTTTAGTGGCCTGTTACGCTTTCTTATTCCATCTTGCTCCAAATCAAAATGAGGAAAGTCTATTTTATAATTTGTCATTCCTAAAGGGAAACAAAGCGTAGACCCAGGGTTCTGGGCTGGGGAGAAAAAAAAGTTGTGTTCCCCCACTTGCCCCCTGCTGCTCTAGGTGAAATCAGGTTTCAGTGAAGGTCAAGACCTGCTCTATACAACAGAGTTTCAAAGGGATGTGTTTTAAGGGAGGGGAAAGAGGCTTTGGTGCATGTGACTGAGGGTGAAGTTAGAGGAATTGGGCTTAAGGATAACTTATACACCTAAGCTTCAAAAAGACTCCCTTTTTCCCAGCCCTACTGCTAGCCCTTTGGTCACCTATCAAGTGACGGCTGCACTGAGAACAGAGGAAAAAGGTACAAATCCTAGGGTAGAGGTCGGGGTGGAGCCAGCATTGGCCATCACCAAAGAACAGATCTAACTCTATAGCATGTGCCTGCCACCAAGGAGGTTTTCATAACTATCTTGGAAAACACAGA